ATGATTTAATAATAAAATTTATTGTATACCTTATAATTAAAATGTCTCAAATTTCTTACAGTTTTAGTCATAAGAAATTAATAATTAATGTAACACTCTTTACATTTACAATCACTAACAAATAATTGCCGAATGACAATAATATTGTACTCAATGTCCATTAATCAGTAAATAGATTATGGTAACAACATAACATAATTGTTATTGTCGATAATAAAATTAAAAATAATAATCCTGCACTTTTAAATATACGTGAATAATACTCAATTATTTTTCAATTTAATTAAAAATTTGTATTATTAAAATGTAATTTAAGATTTTTTATTTTTATATAATTAGCATACTTTAAAGTTATTATAATAACGTTTAATAAAGAATGAAGGAAATAATTGTTTTTACAATTTATTTATATAAGGGATTATATAGTATTAAGCGAGTTAGATAACTAACCATATTGTATTTAATAGTTTTAATCAAATGTGATAGTATTAAATAATGTACAAGACTAGAATCTCGTTAAAAGGATCTAACCATTAGGTAATAGATTATACTATAATGTGAAACAAATAATTGCTTAAATTCCTATAAATACTTTATTTCAATACAATATATTGATAAAATGTTAATCTAATAAGCTTGTTTATCATTAGTACAAAGGATTAGTTTGATCCTGGACATATTTACCAACTATGATAAATTAATTTTCCTATTAATATCAAACAAATTCTATAGTATAAAAGGATTCACTTTTATTTGTAATATTTATAAATAAGAGTCTAAATCTAAAGTACATTAAAAAATAAATTATTTCTGGAAATATGACTTTAAACTGTATGTATATTTAAAATATAATTATTAATTAACTAATAATTTTTTTATAGTAAACATATTGGTGTTACTATCGTTTGCCAACGCAGTAATATGCGTGGTGCAAATTTGCCCTGATAAAATTGCACCGATTAAGGCACCATGCTTTTATCAAATGACTGACCGAGGTTGTAGGATAGTATGCAACGGCAATAATAACGTGAATTTGAATACCATATTCAGCGATATAAACAGTAAACTACCGGCGGATAGCAAAGAGTTTACAATGATATTACTCAACAACACGGGTATCACTGAATTGCCCGCCAATACATTCGGTGGCATACAATTCGAGGGCATTTCCATTACTAACTGCACGGCATTAAAGCGTATCGATCGGCGGGCGTTCAAAGGCACCGACACTTATACCACCGGTCTGTTCATTGTTGACACCCCTGTAACTGAAGTGGTAGACAACGATTGGGATCTATTTGGCGCCATTCGCACATTGAAAGCGTCCCAATCGATAACATTGCAAAATAATAACATCAAAACAGTGCCCACACACGCCATATCAGGTTTGCCCAAGTTGCGCCACTTTGGTTTAGCCGGTGGGCCACCGTTTCCAGCCTATAAAGTCATAGCCACCAGGGCATTTCACGATTTACCCTCAATGACAGACCTAATACTTACCGGCACCAATATAGCGCTGCTAGAAACACACGCGTTTACCCTGGGCAATAGTTATAACTCGACAGAAAGGTTGAATTTAATCATGTATAGTAATTTATTAAACGTGCACTCTATGGCCGACGGGGCGTTTGATTCAATCGGTCGCACGACTACACTAAATGTTGCCAATAATATGTTGTATCGTTTGGAAAGCCGTTTGTTTGAGAGCTTTCTGACCGCAAATCCTGATAATGTTTTGGACGATTCTAACGTCAAATGTGACGATAAGTATAATCAATGGATTAAAAACAAATTCCCACAAACCTGGAAACATTTGGGCTGTTAGAACGTGTATTATATTAAATGTGGTAATTGGCCTGCATGAAATGAAAATGTTTATTTTACTTTTTAAATGCAAATATAATGTAATGATTACGTATAATATATTATTCACAAATTTTTATTTAAATTCAATGTGACATTTAAGTTAGCTTAGTGACCATTTTAGATGTTATTATTACTCAAGCATAATTAATTGTTTTAATAAACATGTGATTTTTCAACAAAATAATTAAGTATAGCAAATAATTTAATTGTTAAATAATTATACAATCAATAATCAATTACTTATTAATGATTATCACAATAGATAACAAAAATTAATATTAGGCTTTTCAAAATAACATTCATTTAATAATACAAAAAATGCAACCATTTGTAAACAATACAATTAACATTAAAAAAATAAATGTCAACTTATTTAACCAAATCAAAATACAATAAAAAAGATATATAAATAAAATTCTACAGTGTAGTATTTACACTATCTTACAATAAGTATTAATTATTTAATTATTATTAGTTTTGTTTATAATTCTTATATTATAAATAAATCAACAAAATTAATATAAATTGATTTATTAATTTGTTTTTCAATTATTTTATTGCATCTAGTGTTATAATTATATTGTTGTTTTCTAAACTTTTTTTTTATTAAAACTTCTTACTAAGAATATTACCAATACAATTATGATGTAATATTGATTTTACAATTATTATAACTATTATGTTAATTGCAATCTAATTATCTTGTTATTCGTTAGTTTTGGATAAAATAAATAATTTTCAACATATATTATATTGTTATAATATTACTTTTGGTAAAGGTTTGCTCTAATCTATCGCTGTCGAAAGTCTTTAAACACTATACAGATTGACTGAATGCAAAATCGTCACACTATAATAATCACCATAACGTACATATACAAAAGACAATCGGAAAATTGGCCCAAATTGGTAATCGGGATTTGACCATATAACATGAATGTACATAGAATAAGGAGTCCCCTGGTATAGTCCATATAGCCGAACCACATCGGGTTCGGTCGCAGTGACCACTTTTATCGGGAAAATTCAACTTATCCAATTCTAACATGTGATATATGAAATCGATGTAGAATTTAATGTAGAACTAGGATATCGCAATATCACATCGATGGGGTTAATATATTTTATGTTATTTACTTAAAACTGTTGAATTTTAGATAAAATTAGTAAAATAACCTATTATTTCCCAAACGCTACTATCTACGCCAACGCCAAACACATCCCGAGGCCACCTTGACCCAATAGTCAACACCACTAATCGCGGATTATAAATCAATTGAAATTACATTAAATTTATGCACCCTATCAAGATGTTATTACGATATTCTATTTCTAGGTTAGATTCCACATTGATTCCATATATAATATGTTGATATTTAATAAGGTAAAACTCTTGCTAAAAGTGGTTATTGCGGCTGAACCCGAAGTTGGCTGGTCATATGGAAAAGGCAAATTTACTCCATATTTGACATAATTGAACATTTATTTTTTGTACAATTAATTATACGTACAAATGTTAATGGATAAAATGCCAAAAATTTTAAATTGAAAAAATTAATTTTTTTTAAATTTGCAAAATTAATTATCATCATAAGCATAATTGAAATTGATATAAAGGATGTCCAGTAATTACGTTATTCACTATAAAAAACGTACATAATTGTTACTAAATTTCTTAATTTTCATATAACTTTTATCGATTATGTCAGATTTTCAAAATGCCTTTGGATTTGGATTCTACTCATTCATACCTTTCTATTGATATATAATATGACATGGTTATTTGTAAAATAAAAAAATTGATTTTCAAAATTTTGCCGATAAAAGTGGCCACTACTGCCAGACCCAAGGGAGTCTGGATATATGAAGTATATCATTCAACTACATAGTGAATGTACTTTCATTTTATAACAAATGCCCGCTATCACATCAATGGTCATACACTTTTGTATATGTACGGTATGGTGATTATTATAGTGTGACGATTTTGCATTCAGTCAATCTGTATAGTGTTTAAAGACTTTCGACAGCGATAATCTAGCTCTTCTAGTTTAGCTGTAATCACAAAAACCGCGGCGACAGATTTTGTTGACTGGGTATATAATATGGAGAATGTTAATAAATCATTACTATATTTACCATTCTTTATCTCACACATCCATCCCTTATCTATATGTTAATTAAGGTATGTTAATTTAATGCTTAATTAATTAAATGCTTAATTTAATTGTATATAAAATAAACACACTGATAACGTTAATTAATCATTATCAAATTAACCATTTTTAATTTATTACTTATCTATACAGGCATAACATCTTTACGCATAAAAAACTGTTTTGCATTCACTGACGACACGGGCGCCGGAGATCAGGTCCAACTGATTGACCCGTACGGGTGTCCGGCGCCGGCGGCCGACGCTCTGATCTCCCCCTTTAACTACAACAGCACACATACAGCAAAAGCCGTATTGTATGAGATGTTCAAATACCCGGACACTAATAAACTGAACATACAGTGCGACCCATACTGTGTCGGGGCGGGTGTCAGGAGCCGGTGTGCGACTCACCCGGTCATAAGGGTAGGGATTTAGCCCTCGATGGGTATTCACAACTGTCGGCCTCCACCTCGATGTTTGTTTTCGAGCCCACAGATGATTCACGTGAGTAAAACTCTATTTAATTTATAACATTAAATTTATTGAATTAGGACCAAATTTTTGATGTAAACTTATTAAAAAATCTTTTTATTTAGTTACCCACGAAAATCTGTTTGAGTGTACTGAATGGAGATTCCCATGGTTAATTACCCTGTGCATAGTGTTGGCCGTGTTATTACTATTAATGTTATTGTTAAATATGTTTATGTGCTCATCGCTCAGCTGCAGGTGTATTAAAACTGAGGTAATTACAAAATATTTGAATATTATTTACTTTATGATAAAAACAAATAATTGAATATGGTGTTATTAATTATTGAGTGTATTAGTGTTAACTTTATTATTGTTAGTGTATTAACATTTAATTAGATAATTATACAAATTAAATATAATTATTAAGTAACTTATATAAATATTTATAAACATATTTACATTAATACAGTTTAAATGACTATTGTACACCAAATAGTTTTAAATATTAATTTGGGTTTTTGACTGCATTAAAGGTATTTTAAAATGTGCTCAGCTGTCGGTATATTAAACTGAAGTAAAATATTTGAATATAATTTATTTTAATTTAACTAGGAAATTAAAAATAATACTGTACGCTAATACGCCAGAAACCCAATATTTCTAAAAATACCATCGGGAACATATTTTTTGTATAAGTTTACATTAATGTTACAGTTATCACACTTGAGTTTACTTACATGTTTTTAAATATTATTAATTTCAACTGAGATTATTTTATATCACCTAGATCGTCGAACAGGAACCGGATGAGACAGTCGACGACTACGACCCATATCGGGCTGACTGGACGGCACCGAACTCACGGTACGGGTCCCGCAACTCACTGAACAAAGGCTATCCCGAGGGGACACTCAAGTCAAACAAATCACAGCCAAAGTCCTATCACTTGGGCTACGATAACGATGACTACGTTCCCGACCAACACAACCGGTCATACTCTACACTACAGACCCGTTCGCCCCGACCCCGATCGCCGGGTCCGCCCCTCTCAACCTACTCGACCCACT